ATTATCTGGATGTGTTTAATTCTGAATTCAGGCCTACGCATGGGATAGAAACATCATTGGTCACTTTGGTGGATGTTCTGCAGAAATGGATCCTTCACCATCATTTTATGGCTTCAAATATGGATCACCATTAATAGTTTCCAGTTTTGGGTGAGGTGTAAGGAGAGGCCAGTGGCCTATCACTTATCTCATTTGCAAAGTGTTTCTTCAAGAACATCACTTGTTAATGTTTTTTCACTGGCACAGCAGTTGGGTATGGTGTAAAAACTAAAGGATAAAAGATGCAAGAATACAGACAGCACATGCAGACATATTTAACGACATGAAAAGGATGAATAAGGTCAATGGGCTATTTTCTTCATACCTTTTCAGAACGCTAAGGTTTCCAAATCTCTTCACTTTTCTTCTGCACTTCCAAATTATTTCGTTCCATAAATTGCCATCCATTTTGAGGCTTTGGCATCTCTACATGATGTGTTTGAAATCCTTATGATAAAATTTCCTTTATCCTGAAGCAATGGATTCATACGCTGTAGTTTCTGTATTCAGGACTAGTGTTGCCTTTGAAATTAAAACACAAGGAAATTACTAGAGTCATTAGAGATCAGTTGTTATGAAAGAAAGGGATTGCATGTCTTCACAAATGTCCTAACTACAGAAAATAAAAAAAAAAATGTATTTGTCCTTAATACCATCAGGTTTTTCAAATAACCTTCTGGTGTATGTGGAACCTGAGAATGGATAAGTGACTGGTAACAGGATTGATGGATTGATGGATTGATTTAGAAAACTTATATGGCTGCCTATTTTGTGGATAATAATCATAGGCAGCTCATAACAACATTCCATAAAATCAAAATAATGTAACCCACAAAACTCCATAACAACATCATATGTCCCACCACAGCACCACAGCATCCCACCAATTCTACTGGGCCCACTTCTATCCTAGCCCAATGTCTGGGTGAAGAGCCAAGTCTTCACCGTTCTCTGGAAGGCTACTGGTGGGGATCCCTACCAATTTCAGCAGGGAGGCTGTTCCAAATCTTGGAGCAGCCACAGAGAAGGCATCTCTTTGAGTTCCCATGAAATGAGAACATTTAAGGGAAGGGACCTGGGCCATGCCCACCTATCTGATTTGGAGGAATGGGCAGATACACTCAGGGAGAGGCAGTCTTCTAAATATAGAATATAGCAAGCTGCTAAATAAACCAGAATTGAATGTGGTTCATCATATTAAGGTATTTCTAAACCAATTAATGATGGAATTTAATGGAACAATTATGCACATGGTTTGATAGAGTCCTAGGAGTTTGGCATCTGAGAACAAGTCATAATTAATCCCATGTTATAGTAAATTTCACATCTAAGTGTAGATAGCTGTTATCATGATAAACCTTCCAGAAGTGAATCAGTACTGGTCACTATCCCTCATGGAAGATTTCCTGGATCTCAAAGATGACATTCATTAAAATGTGATTTGCTAATGTCTCAGTTAACGAATTAAATGAATATATATTTGATTTTTTTTTTAATGTCTATGGAGTGAATTGTGTGACCTTTTCAAAGGCTCTTAAGAGGTGCAGTATCTATTCCATTAAGCAATCTTGTAAATGTACTTGGCTGGCAAACCAGTGAGAAAGGAAATATAATGAAGTCTTGTGAAAATAGTTCTATACAACTTAAGTTCACTTAAGATCTTTAGCTTTCTGGTGTAGGTTAAGCAGAAATCTTGCAAAGATACCATAGCTGTGTTTTGTCCAAATCCTGTACACTGAATATGTTGTGTGACTTAAAAATCAAGTGTGTAATAAATAACCCACAAATGCTATAAATAAACCTATTTCAGGTTTGCTTTTTTTTTTTTTACTCATGTTTTGTGGTATTTGGAGATAAATATTAAATTGAATCTTTAATTTAATATTTTAGATTAAAGAAAATGCAACCTTCTACTGAAAATATTCCACTTACATTATTTAAAGATTTGTTAAATAAAATAAAATAAAATAAAATAAAATAAAATAAAATAAAATAAAGTAAAATAAAATAAAATAAAATAAAATAAAATAAAATAAAATAAAATAAAATAAAATAAAATAAAATGAAATGAAATGAAATGAAATGAAATGAAATGAAATAATAAAATAAAATAAAATAAAATAAAATAAAATAAAATAGG